TTTATTCTTTAGCATGCTCGTTTTGTTAGTATTATAATATCTATATATTAAATTAATGATTTTTAAAGCATTTTCATATTCTTCCAGTGCTGCCAGTATAGTTACATAAAATCAGTATCCACGTTTACACAGAAGGCGGGTCGATAGATTATTTTCTGCATAAAATAATTAGATAAATATTTTCTGCTTTAACTCCTTGTTATCCTGTAATACTTTATAAATTTAGGAAAAGATATATCGGTATTTATGCTATTTGCGGTCATCTGACAGATAATAGATGGTGACTTTACGTAATGTAGAACTTCATATAGTAAAGCAGCGTTTCATTTTATTGTACTTTATTTTATTTTATTCTGAAAAGACATCAAACTTTCTCTTCCCTAATATAAAATTCTTTTACACTGCTTTTTCATACTAATTTGTTCTCATCTTGAAGCATAGGAATGTGACTGAAAACAAACAACTCATATCAAATTTATTACAAGTTTTGAAGCTTGCAGCTGGATTACTAAACTGTTTCAATTTTCAAGACAAAGTGCATAATTTTTTCCACAATAAGTGGGCTTAGCTCTTTAAGCAATGGAAGCTAAGATACAAATGTAAAGTCATTAGGATTTTTTTTTGTGTGTGTGTATGTGTGTACAGAAGACATGAGAATGTGGCGCCGGGACTCGATTAAGGAACTCTCGAGTACACGCCGAGTGTGCTACCGTTACACCAGGAAGGCATGCAGAAAGGAGGGAGAAAATACCTTATATAATTTCCCTTCCAAATTACGACTGGGGATTAGGGAACCCAATCACTAAATCCTGATGGGGAAGAGTCCTCATCTCCCCTTTCAACAGTGGCGCCCAAACCTTTCAGTTTGGGCGCCACTATAAAGTCATTAGGTTATTTTTGAAGCAGAAAACACGAAAAATATGCAATGCCTTTGCCGGGACCCGAACCTGGACCTCTCGAATATGCGCCGGTGTGCTACTGTTACACCGCGAAGGCATGCAGAAAGGAAGGAGAAAAATACTTATACATTAATTTAAGGTTCAAAAATTTAGTTTAGATTTTGGAGTATATACATTTTTTAAAATGTTTGTTTCAAATTTTAATGGAATTCAAATATTTTTTAATTTAAATAATTTTGACAGTATTAGTTAAATTAAATAATGTGATTACTGTTATTAATAATTTTAAACTGTGAATTTGTAATTAAGCTAAATTTCGAAGTTATTAATTAATTAACAACTAATATTAATTATAATGCTGTTGGCAAATGTAAGTTAAAATTTAAATTGTAACGAAAATTAGAAAATGACGGGGAAAATAGATCTTTCCCGTTATAGGGCAACATGCGCAAAATTAGTCTCTCAATCTAAAAAAGATATATATATGCATTGACAGTGCCTTATGACCACAGTACCTCCTACAGCAGTGCTCTTGTTTTAAAACTCATAAAATTGTTTTAAAATATTCAGCTTTTGTTTATTGAAGTTAGAGACATTGTTTAGAAAATTTTTACAACAATCGAGACGAACTGATATAGAAAATATCTTTTTCTCTCTGGAAGTTTCAAATTGGAACAATTCAAAATTGTTAAAAATTCGAAAAAGCATTTGAAAGTCCTAAATTCATTTCAAAAGTTGGAATATTAAAAATTGTTCGAAATTCTCGAAAATTATTCACTCAAATTCGCGCAAGGATAAAAATATTACCTTAGTTATACCTGCCCCAAAACAAAATTTTAATTTCTGAAAGTATGTTACATTTGCTTAACGACTCTCTAGTACTTTATAAGCAGTGTCAGCATTATTAAGACATTATTAAAAATACTATGTATATGAGTAAAATGACCAAAGGGAAATAATAGGAAAAATAGGAAATTAACATAATATTAAGAGCAGCGCTATTAAATTATCCGCTAAGGAAATTCATATTAGATATTAGATATTCTAATTCGGTATTAGAAAATTGTATAGAACTTGATAGTGTTCCGAGCATTTACTTGCCATCGGTTAATGAGTAAATGTCCAATGGAATGCTATCGAATTAAATTAGGTTACCTTAGAGACTGCAGAAGCTAATGAAACTCTAATCTTAATCAATTTTAAACTTAATGTAGAGAACGAAATGTCGAAGGCGATGTATGTTTTATAACAATGTTCTGAGACCTGTAGATAGAGCAAATGGCAGATTTAATTAACTACGTAAATATTACTGATGAAGGTAAACATGCTTTAAAACACTAATCGTTAAGGAAAGCAATTAAGATACAGAAACTTGAAATTAGCTCTTATTGAATCATTCAGTACTTTAATATAATTTCCCATTCTTTCTCTTTGGATAGAAATAAGAAATCAGGAGACAACTATGCTTAACTATCATTTTACGATAGCAGGAAATTACATGTAAGCCTATTGGCTGGATATTTTTTTTTTTTATTAAAAGAAACACAACAAGTTCCCCATGTACCACATAGTATCACATGGGGCTTACAGAAGTAAGTAAGAAACACAATACAAACTAAACAGAAGAGAAAATTGAAATAAAATTAAGGATGATTACACAGTTTTACAATGAATTGACAAAAAGTGTTAAAAGCACTTCTCTCGGAAATAAATTGGTAAAACTCTGGAGGCCAGTTAATATTAAAATTTTTCAGTCCCAGTTTCAAGACTTTTCTTTCGCTCTCATATTTAGGACATAGAAGAAGCACATGTTCTACATTCTCCTCGCCGCCGAGGACACAGTCACAGACAGACTCAGGACTCAACTTAAATCTGTTCAAATAACTTTTAAAATTCCCATGTCCAGTAAGAAACTGGGTTAATTTATAATTTGTGAAGAAATGATGACACGACAATCTCATTTTAATAGAAGGGAAAAATCTTCTAGTTAAACTCCCTTTATTTGAATTAATGAATTCGTGATTCCACGACTCCACAATGCTTTCATACATGACCTTCTTATAGAAGGAATTAGGGATATTGACAAAAGTGTCAATTTCCCGCTTAGTCGCAGTCTTAGCAAGGAAATCGGCTCGTTCGTTCCCAACAACACCTGTATGACCACGAACAAATGAAAATGAAACCGAAATATTTTTATCCTTTAGATTTTTCAGTTCTTTTTGAATCTCGATAATGATATTATTAGAAGAAGAAGAAGAAATACATTTTAAGATCTCCAAGGATGAAAGGGAATCAGTACAAATGAGATAGTCTGAAACAGCACTGTTTTGTTTAGAGACCCATTTGACGGCGAAGTTTAAGCACAAAAGTTCAGCTATGAAAACGGTACATTCATCTCTGATTCTAAATTGAAAGTGCTCAAATTCAAGACCATTTTTGAAGACAACAAATGCGAGACCAACCTTGCCATCAATTTTGCTGCCATCAGTATAGCAAGTTACAGGCGAATCATCTACGATTTTATTGCTAAACTGAATAAAATTAACAGCATTTCTTTCTGAAGGATGAGGGAGATCAGATAGAGGTAAATATACAATCATACTGAGAGACAGTAGAAGCAGAAATATTTTCCTTATAAGCAATAGAATGAAGAATGGCAATGTCAATTGGAGGAAAGCCAGAAATTGCATAAACAGACTCATAGCTTACGGTACGATATCCACATATGACCCGCAGAAGTATCCGCCTTTGAACACGTCGTAAATATCTATAATTTATCTTCTTCTTGAGCGATATACCCCAGACTCTAGAGCCATACATAATGAAGGGGGCAATTCCTTGTTTATAGATGAGCGAATGAACGTTGTAATTAATACCGTATGTGTTGCGTGCAATACGACTTAATCCACGCTGTAATTTATCACATTTCTCTGATACATAAGTTAAGTGTTGTTTCCAAGAAAATTTACAGTCAAGAAAAACCCCAAGATATTTCATTTGCTTTACCACAGTCAAAGGGGTGCCATCGAGAGATAACTGAAATGCATCATAACAGATGTTTCGCTTTTCAATAATCATAACCCTGGTTTTATCAGGATTAAAATCTAATTTAAAACCTTTTGACCAGTTGGAGGCGAAATTTAAAGTCTCTTGTGCCTGTAAAAAAGTAGCAGAAAGGTCCCTACTCTGGAAGCAAAACAAAACATCATCCGCAAAGGCTATAGTATCACAACAAGCAAGATTTTCCAGTTTTAATAGGAGATCATTAATAATAATATTCCAAAACGTAGGTCCTGAAACAGAACCTTGAGGGCAACCCCTTTCAAGGTGACGAATTGCAGAAGCCGAGCCCAATTGCAATTTGGCCGCCCGTTCATTAAAAAATCAGCAGCAAGTGAAAAAATATTCATTGGAAGTTCCACTTTTTTGAGAAGATTGAGATTACAAGGCCACTATGCATAGTCGAAGGCGCCCTTAATATCAAAAAGACCAAAATAGTGTGCAAGTTTTTCTTTTTTCCTCTCTGAACAATTTCATTCAAGCGTAAAAGAGCGTCTTCAGAGCTTTTTTGAGGTGTAAAACCATACTGATTACCAGAAAGAAGGTCTCCTATGGCGGAGATACCAGCAAATTCTGTTAATAAAAAGTTTTTCCAAGCACTTACCCAAAACAGGAAGTAAGCTTATACACCTAAGGTTATCTAGGCAAGGAATCCTAGACTCATTTCCTTTAGGAATAAGAATTACTTGAGCATGTTTCCAAACACGTGGGAAAATGCCAACATTTAGGCAAACGTTAAAAAGTTTATGGAGAAATTGAGGAAACATTAAATGAAACTGTTTAATAATCTCATTCGAAATAGAGTCAGGACCAGGTGATTTATTTGGTTCCAGCATAGAAATAACTGTATTAACTTCATCACAAGAAAACATAGGATCTACAAAAGAAGAATAAGCAGTACGCGCAGCTTGACGGTATTCCTTATGCAAATCATCATCATTTTCCTCTAGATCCGAGGGGAAAGATTTCTGAAGCACAGCAGTAATTGTCTCTTCTAAAGAGTTGGTTGTCTCTCCAGTGGAAAGACAAATACCAGTTATTTCAATTTTTTTCATGAAATCTCTTTTTAACTCCATACGTGTAAATCTTTTTCCATACATTGTGAACATCAATGGTCGAAAGAAATGTTTTCCAAGACTGAGATTTAGCATCGGCAAGCTTTAGATTGTAAACTTTTCTATATTCAAGATATTTACTTTTATAAAGTTCTCTAAGAGGCGGATTTTTACAACGCTGAAATCTACGCCTAGAGGCATTAAGCCTTTTTCTCATACAAAAAATTTCGGCAGACCACCAAGGAACATTGTGCTTACCATGATTCCTAACAGGTATGGAAATTTGAGATGCCTGGAGAAGAACAGAACTAAAATTCTCAACAAGAGTATTTAGTCGAGAACCGTCAGTACAGTCGTTAAGAATATCAATGAAACGGGTGATGCGAGAAGAACAAAATTTTCGAAAACGATCCCAATTTGCTTTCCCTGTATTGAAGATTTTAAAAGGAACATTTGAGGTGTCTCGTAAGAACGTAGAAGACAAAATTCAAATTCAATCATCATGTGATCAGAAAGGGATTCTTTTTCAGACAGCCGCCAACTCGAAATATCCTGGAGAAGATCTGAACCAATAACAGTAACATCAATATAACTAGAACCCTGAGTTGCCTGAAACGTAGGTCCATAATCTTCATTAATAACAAATAGGTTGTTGGCAGAAATAAATTCACTCAGTTTATCTCCACGAGAGTCAGAATAGGGACTAAACCATAATTCAGATTTGCCATTAGAGTCCATACACCAAACCAGTCGATTAAGATTTTTGGACATAAAGACTTGACTAATTTTATGAAGATCTAAGTCAATGTTTCTTGAGGGTTCAAAATAGTATGAAAAAAGAGTGAGCACAGTTGAGCCAACAGTAACATCCAAGGTGACCATATTATAATCCGTATTTTTATAATCAAGAAATGTTGATAGATCACGTGATCGAATAATGATTGCCGCCTTTACATTATCAGAATTAGGATCACAATAAAGTCTATAAGTGCCAGGATATCCTGGAAGAAAATTCTTGTAATAATGAGGTTCCTGAACCAAAGCACAGTCAATATCATCAGCTTCCATATTTAAAATTAGCTGTTGTGTCGCAGATTTGGATTTATGAAGATTTAACTGCACACACTTTAGAACGCGTCTAGCCATAATCAATTCGAGATTGAATGTTCTTTCTCATAAATTCATGACTAGGACAGCATTCTGAAAAAAGGTTTGTGATTAACATTCACTTTTTTATAGCTGTTATTTGTTTTATGATTGAAGCGGATGCAATTTATACAAGCTACAGCATTCCTATTCGAACAATCCCTTGCCTTATGTTCTCCAGAACAGTTAAAACAGGCTGTTCGCTCACGACATTCATCAGCACGATGGTTGTACCCAAGACACTTAAAACATCTATTGATGATAATAAAATCGTCAGTTTCACATATACTCCAATTAATTTTCAACCTGGCTTGATTCAGAATACGTTTACGAACCATGGGGTGCGTTTCAATCACAACGTGCCTCGTGAACTGGAAGGTTTTTAAAGTAAAACGAACTCTACATATACTTCTGTTTTCATCAGATTCAACAACTTCGGGATTTTGTTCAAAAATCACTTTCAGAAGATCTTCATTAGGTATTTCATTTGGCACATTTTTTACAAGTAAAACAGGATTCCTCTTTTTTGGTAAGGACGTGTTTAATTCCGGAGACTTTTCATTAATCTCGGCTTGAAGTCGATTCCGATCATTTTCTGTCAAACACTTAACCAAGACTTTATCTTTTCCAATATTTTTCAAAGTATATACACCTAACTTAGCTTCTAATGGATTAATTTTTAGTTTAATAACTTTCTTAACATCGTCAGAAGAGCAGTTTTCAGAGTCTACAATTAAACAACAATCCGAAGAAATCAAGGATTTTTCATTAATCCTTGTAACATCAGATGGCGCCACCATACTAGCATAACTAGGTCTTGAAAAGGCGTCTTTCAAACTTTCCTTACATGCATCCATAAATTTAACAGCTTTGATACGTTCAAAATTCTTATAAATAGAAGATTTCAACTCACCCAAAGCCTGCCTGGCCTCCTCGCGAACCTGTTGATTCATATTGCATTTAGATTGAAGTGCTGATTCAATAATTTTACAGTGTTTTTCAAAGAGCATCGTAAAACACGTCATCCTCCGTAGCAGCCATTGCTGTGCATGCAAATGGGGCGTTCCGGGTCGATGAAATTCTCAATCATTCATTTCTTCAAAATAATCATTATCTTGATACAAAAGGCACATTTTTCAAAACCGGAGCACAAAACAAATTATAAAAAAGCACTTTCAATAACACAGAACCAATATGCACAGAATAATAAAGACTTTTCATCACAGCACAAAACTGCCAACCAATACGGCTGCTCTTGAAAAATGCATTAGCGGTAGAAAAATGCGAATGCGTGCGGTAAATTAAATGCATAAGAGAAAATAGCTATTGCATTAGAGAAAAGCTAAACAATCGTTGATTGGCTGGATATTAAAAGAGCATTTCCAGGTTAAAAGACACAGCACTACCCTCTTTACGTTTTCTCGCGATTCGAAAGATCCATGATTCTAATATCGGTAAGGGCTTAGCTGACTTTTCATATTTCTTGCTCTGGAAATCCTAATATAAATAGTTAATTTATATCTCTGCAAACTCAAGACAAAGAGCAAACTTCAGGCAGTAACGATGAATTAAGTTGACGGTATACAAACATCAAACAATTTCTGAGAGAAGCTTACTGAAACGTTCTTGAAATTTCAACAACTGGCTCTCTCTTCTAAAGAGGTAAGCTCTGACTAATCATGTAAATCTGTTTTATTAAAATATTCCTAATGCTTTCTGACTCAAATAATTTTGAGGAACTCGAAAAGGATATTGCTTTTAACTTTATAAATTGCTAGATTATCCTTTCCGTAGTTGCAATGATTCCCGTAATCTCGTTAATTAACCGGAACTTGAAACCTGCAAGTATAAATACAGGCACGAAGTTTTTGGCTTAAGTGTAATTTCAACAATTTGAAAATGTTAACGCTTATTTCAAATAATTCACGCATTCAAAGAAAGGAAAGAATTCCGGATAGGAGTTAAAGTTATTGTGAAGCAATATTTTGCACTTAAAACACTGAAGCATCAACTTTACGCCAGGCTGTAATTCATTACTGCTTCACTTGTATTAATAAGCGTTTTGTATTGGCAACCAACAGCAGAAATTTAAAACGAGTATTGAATAAAGTACCATACTTTTTAATTTTAATACTGTTGCTTGCTACGAGTTCGTAGAAAACTTTTTAAATAACCAAACTAGACAAAACGAAAATATGAATCTTTATTAATATAAATAGCGATTTACAAAGCAAGATAAACAGTTCTAAATAACCACGGAATTGAAACGAATCTGATGCGGACACCACACGACTTCCTTGTAAGCCCTATTAAATTATACACATATTACTGCAATTCATTTAAACTAATTGGGCCCACCAACGGCCAAGCGATAAAGAACACTGGTAGTTCGGCCTGAGGTTCGAATCCCGTGAACGGGTTGGCTGCATGTGCGTTTTCGTGGTTCCCCCATGTGTAACGTGTATACGAGGCACTTTCCCTTAGAAAGTCCTCCACGAGGCATTCCTCCCATTAGGCAGATAGCCTTCGAGACTTTGCCATAATCACACACACTCATTTAAACTTATTTCTTCGAATTTCATTAGACTTGTAGTTGTCATTCAATCAATTAAGTTCTCACTGTGCAGCTACCCCAAAATGAATAAAATCTCAATCTTCATTAAACCTGTAACATATAGCAAAACCTAAAACAATACATACAGTTAGAAACAATTTATTAAAAAAATACAATTAAAATTAGAGTGTCTGCGCAAAAACAAACAATTCGGCCAGTTAATTTTACAACCAAGTTAATTTTACAACTATTGCATGCAGATTAACTAAGGGAATAAAAACCTCAACTGGAACATTATTAAATCGCTTTTAAATCAAAACATGATAAATATTTCAAAATGTAAGAATAAAACTGTGAGCTCGTCGATGCGTGTAACGGAGTGGCAATATATACGTTTTCAGAATTTGCTCATTTTAAGTTACGCGAGATACGTACGTACAGATGTCACGAAAATTTCTCTTTTGAATCCATTTTAAATCCGTTTGGAAAGAAAATCCTTTATTCTGCCTGTACATACAGATGTCGCGCGAAAACGTTGTTCAATGGATTCCGGAGCGGCCAAAATTGATATTTTGTTGATGTATAATACCCTAAATGTTTCGAGATCACAGCTTTATTCTATACAAGGAGTTACGAAGGAAGGAAGATTTACTTTCCTTGTTTCGCATAGAGAAGTAAAAATATGTAGACCGAAATTCGTCTTGACACACCAGGAATAACAGTTATGACTGAAATCGCTGATAGAATAAATTCCAAAAAATCTGAGCATGGAGCAGAAGCTTAATATCGTGAAGACATTTAAAGTCTCAAATCTATTTGAATATCATTAAAATTAGTAACTAAATAAATGCCTCACGTAACCTCTTATTTATAATATTTCTAAAATAGAAAGATACAAATTTCTGGAAACTTCGAGGACAAAATGATTCATAGATTGTCTAAAATGTGCTTTGCAGAATTTTACAAACGTCATCAAACTGACACACAATTTTTCGGATTTTGGGGAACTTGACGTTAGAAATTGTTGTCGGTCAACGGTATGAGGGTTTCCACCCATACCCTCAGTTTCTGCTAGGGTTTAAACATCAATTAACTGGGATGCTTGGAATAAATACACTTCACAATGTACCAATAATTTACATTGTTTTATAAGGTATTTCTCCTCCTTCTTAGCGTGCCTTTGTGGTGTAGTGGTCAACACACCCAGCCGGTATTTCAGAGGTTCGTGGTTCGATTCCCGGCGAAGGCGTTGCTAATTTTTCATCTCTTTTGCTAAAATTCCTAATGTCTCTACAGTGGCGCCTGAACTAACAGGGTCCTGCATGAGGATTCTTCACACCCAGGATTTGGTGATTGGGTCCCATAAAACCCCTAGTCGCCCTTTAAAAAGGGGAGTATATAAAGTATTTCTTCCGCTTTCCTAGCGTGCCTTCGGGGTGTTGTCGTTCTGCACGTTTGGTTGGTATTCCTGAGGTACGCGCTTCGATTCCCGGCGAGGACGTTGCTCATTTTTCATTTTTCCGGCTTTCCCAATTAACGTAATGTCTCTATGGCGCCCGAACTAAAAAGGTGGTGGATGATGACTCTACACACCCAGGATTTGGCGAGACTGGGTTCACTATAAACCACAGTCATCCTTTAAAAGGGGGAGTATATAAGGTATTTCTCCCTCCTAGTGTGCCTTCGTGGTGTTGTGGTCAGCACACTGAGCAGGTGTTTCAGAGGTCCGTGATTCGATTCCCTGCGAAGGCGGTTGCTAATTTTTCATCTCTCTATCTTCCAAAAAATATCTAATCTTTCTACATCATTATACAAAATTTGTTACATAAATGAATGCGTTAATAAAAAGAATTAAAATCTGAAAGGTGTGAGACTTTAACAAACACCCAAAAAAGACTGTTAAGGTTATTTTGTGCTTCAGCTGAGCTCGCAGTCTACCAGTCTACTGCTACGCTAACACATTTTGGTCTTTTTAGGTTTATTTTATTGAGTATAATTTTCTCCTCACTTACACCATGTACAGTTCATCAACAAAATTACAAAAAGTTTAAAAGCAGTATAGCAGCATACGTTTAGAATTTCCGATGCAACATTAAGTATTGGCATACATTTTTCTGTTTCTTTCGGACGTTTCTCAAGTCATCATATCAATGTTCAGTTTTCTTACTAAGATGGCTTTACAAAACGTTTTTTATCTTTTTTATTGTTAATGTTTCGTGCGTTTACATTATTTATTAAATATCGTTACGGATGAAGAGAAAGCTATGCCAGAAACATTAAATAGACCACGCGCATCTAACATTTTAATAATGGATATCTCGTAATTGTACTCTTTTAATATCGAGAAAATGCGAGAATATACTCTTGCATTTAAAAAGCTTATAAAAAGCTGGAAGAAAACATCTCATTCAGTTGTTTTATGAGTTGTTTAGAAAATTATTGTTGT